TTTGTGCTGAATGTACGCTCACAGCCAGGTTAACCACAAAATAATTAAAATAAGGCACGACAGGGAACAGACCTTAATTCTAGGAATGTTCAAGAATAGTATTCCATATTCAAAAATGTAACTAATGGATGTAGGTGAATCTTAGGAATTATTCAGTATGCTTGAGGTAGTAACTCACTGTATCAATTCAAAATGGAGAAAAAACAGGGTGGGTCCCAATATTTAGGACTACCTGAACCCAATGTTACTCTCTCCCAGAAGTTAAAAACTTAAACATTACTTGGAACGGTATTGAACATTTACTAGGACTGGATAATTGTAAGTTCGAACACTTAACTTAGCCATGCACTTAAATCTAGGATCATGCACTTAAATCTATGGTCAAGCACATAAATCTAGGGTGTTTGTCAATATACCCAAATGTCATAGATTCATGTCTACTGACGAAAATAATTGTTTCTAAGACGCACTTAGCATACAGCAAGGCACAATCTGGCACCTTTAAAAAGTGCAACTTAGGTAAGAATATGTCTAAGTACCCCACTGGTCAATGTAGGAATCACATGAATTTATGCCACCTTAACAAGTGGAAATTGTCAAATCACAATATTTCAGGTTTTAATATTTCATTTTCAGCTATTTATATTCATTAGTATCATTCACTTAAATCTTGATATATCAATATATTTCACATTTATTTCAGGTAAAAGTATCTAGATTCACTTAAAACTAGACTCATGCACTTATATCTAGCAATGCATATATGTTTTAAAGTTCATGCACTTATTAATACACAAAACATGTATTTCAAGTGAATGGAGAATCTTTGTGGTACACACAAGGTAGAAATCAGGTCTCCTTTAAATCAGTTCAAAATACACCTGCACTAGTTTTCCTGACACATATTCCTCCCTGGAGTCATACATATGAGGAAAGTTCGAGCAGAACATTTACACTACAGCACAGCGAGGTGCAATAAACACTTTGTAGAACTGAAGCCACTGGGTCCTCTGCAAGCGTAAGCAAACAATAACACTGAGCCCGGATACGCTCATGAACGGCGGGGCTGAATCCCTGAGTTGGTAACCACTTCCTCTCTTCTCAATAAAAAAAAATGCAGAAGACTTGGAATTTTGGGGTAGAATAACAAGAGAATAGTAAATGCAGAGAAAACGCCAGCTACAAAATAAGTGGCAAGTGCAAATACCAACTGGAGGGGCGTGCCGACAGCATGCAGGAACAAACATGGCCGCGGCCGGGCAGGGTGATGGCGCCGTCTTGAGAACAATGAATACTTGCCGAAATTAAAAAAAAAAAAAAAAAAAAAAAAAAAGAGAATTGCCAAAAATGGAGAAAATTGATACCTTGCACAGAGCAAAAACTCGAGAAACTGAATCTAACGTTGAGAAACTTGCTGGATGAATGGGAGCCGTAGGAAACTCGGAGTTCAGGAGGAAAAATGTGACAAAATATAGAATCACAGAAAAACACAAAAAATGGGGAATAAAGCCCACATACCGAAATCAGGGACCACAATATCTCAGATAATGCAGCTGAAAAATATGGATCAACAACTAGCAAACCGGAGAACATCTATGGTGCAACCGACGACAGTAATTGAAACTGTAATGTTGAACACGAATTCTCAATCGGATTCAGCAGGATGATGATGCAGACAGCATGGCGAGGTCCTCTTGATCACCATGTAGGCCGATTACTCACTGCGCCAGCGTGGAGGCGGTCGCTTATGGAGAATGGGGGCATTCGACATATGGGTGTAATAATGAAGACAGTTGTTCACCTTGAGCTGAAGTCTTCTGGGGGACGGGCTGAAGCAATACGATGCGTTCTCAAGGGAGAGAATGGGCGAGGTCCAAGAAATCTGGCTAATATGGGGCTGGTTAACAACTGTCCTTGGGGGCGTCAGTAACATGTCTCCTTGCAGTCATGTGCGGTTCTTCTGTCTCTCTCCCTCCTCCGGGCATGCGAGTGGGTGTGCGCAGACACAATGAGCAGGGCCGCCGTCTACCAATCAGGGGCACCTAGCATAAGAGATATTCCCGCTGGCGAGCACATTGAATGTGGTTCCCTCCACAATAACATAGTACCTATGTAACTAATACTTATAGTTCTAATGTTCATAATTCCTCTGTGGTAGATTTCCAGTTACAACCTACCACCAGGCACCAACCCTTTCTCAAGAACTATAGTATGTCCCATGGTATCCATCCCATCGCTGTGGTTAGCAGAATAGACGTATTGCTCCAATTTTAACGACAGTTGTATTTTTCCAGTACCAGTAAATTTTGAAATTTACGTACTATTTTCCATGCTATTCGAATATTATAGATCAGCTACATCCTACTGAAGGCTCGTAGTTTTGTTTTGAGAAATCTTGGTAGTTTTCAGAAAATTATAATAAACACTATAAATTATTTCATATAATAATTGAGCTTCCACCAATCAATATTATATACAATAGTGTGGGTTTCCAAAATCTAAAGAGAATGGAATGTAGAAATGTTCATAGAAAACAATGTTACAGTGGAATGTCTATGGGGAACACTACTTCAAACAGGACAGATTCAACATTCACACCATGTTTATGGGGTCCTCTATCACTCAAAAGGATTGGTATGGGGGTCCACTACTATCTTTTGGATAGGTATAGAGGTCCATTAATGCCCACAGGATGGGTATGGTCCACTACTGCCCCCAGGGTAGTTATGGGGTTCCGAGGATACATACCCAGGGTAGGTATGTAGGTCCGACAGACCCATTGGCAGTATCCATGTCGTGGTGTGGAGTGCGAGGTGGCTTGTGCGCTGGAGGGGGGAAAATAGAAACTGAAGCACCCGTGTCAACCAGGTAACGGCGTCGGGAGGTACGATCAACCATATATAAAAGTGAAGCATCCAAGGCGGCAGGGTTGCTGGTCGTCAACAGACCCCCGCCAGAGCTGTTTCCCGAAGCACACGGCTGACGGCAGTTCCGGGCTCTAGCCTCAGACCTGCGATGGTACAGCAGTAGTATGGGTTGGAGTCAGCCGTCAGGGACGGGCTGCGGGACTTGCACTGGGAATGTTGGCGGCTCTGAATAGCACTGAGAAGTTGGCTGTTCATTTGGGTCGTCACTATTGAGTGGTCAGAGGCAAGGTATTTCCTGACCAGAGTGAGTCGCCTGGTGCACTATGGATTCAGTCTACAATTTTTCGTAAGACTCTCTGGTGTCACGTTGTCGTTCTGGGCAAGGAGAAGCATGCGAATGTGTAAGGGCAAAGCACTGTAGGAACAGAACCCGGAACCGGTCATTGTCACATGCTCCACTCGCCGGCCGTAGTAAGAGCTCCATTTGCTGAAGCATTTGGGATAGTGTCCGATCCCCGAGGCTGCAATAGCTACTACTGGTGAGGAGCAGGTCACGCTGGCGGCTTCTACATACCGTGGCTGCAGCGAGGAGAGCAGTCTTCATGGCGGCGAATCCGTGTGTGGTTGCCGCTGTTATAACCACAGCTTGTACCTCTTGAATGGTGTCCAGAAGCAATGCTGTCACAATGAGTGTATACTGCTATGCGTCGTCGGTTACCTTGTAAGCGTCAAAGCAGGCCTCTACCTGTGCAAACCATGCCTCTGGATCAGACGAAAGATATGCTGGTAGCGTAAACGTGGGCGCTATGGTTTGTTTACTATGGTGGGGGCCATGGTTTGGTTTGTTTTGAATAGTTTCTTTAATTTTTACATGGTTTGTTTGTTTTTTTGGGAAATACTGATGTGAAATCGACTCCGGGGTTACGACTTTAGTGCCCTAATATCCATCAGACAAGGATTTAGTAAACACAAGGCTCTGATCCACACACATATATTCTACAGCTGTACAAACCCAAGGAGGTTGTGAGAGCGCGTCTGGTCTCGTGGTTTTCTGCATGTTGATCTCCCGCTGGTTGGTTTCTTCTCTGCCGTTTTCACTCAACTCCGCTATGTTGGAGGGAGTAATGAAGTCACTACAAGTCCATTAACAATGTTGGAATATTGTAACACAAATAAGACTATAGTAGCTAATATTGACAAGTAAATATTTAAGTGAGTAAATTAATAATTTAGCCCCCGTGCTGTAGTGGTTTAGACGTTCGCTTGGTGTTCCACGAGCGATTTGTCCTGGGTTCGTATCTGGCCGAGAAGGATTTACTGGGCTCAAATCCTTAACTGTAGCCTCTGCTTAACAGTAGAATGGGTACCTGATTGTTAAATGATTCTTCGTGGGGGTCGTATTCCAGGGAACATAGGATTGAGGACTTGCCCGAAACGCTTCACGTACAAGAATGTTAGAACTATTGTATATATCAATAAAAAATGATTAATTGATAACAAACATAGTTATCAATTTATTGTAACATAGGGGGGGTGGGGGTAATCGACTCTACCTTTAACTCTCCCTATCTTCACCCTTTACGCATGCCTGTATTCCAAAGTACCTCCGCAGTAACACCTCCGAGAATTCTATAGGACCGCCGTGAACGCTGACGTACGTCGAAACGCCACTGCAGTCAGAGAGAACAACTGACCAAGCGGCCCCCGGCAATTGGAATGTCCGCCCTTCAAACTGGCGCAGAAACACCCGGTAATCCTTTTCAGTAGCCAACTTCACCACTGTTCGATGGGTAGTTAACAGCTCCGCCTTATAAACAGCAGCCACATCCAGACTCAGCACATCACACAGCGTCAGCTCCACTGTAGGGTAGTTCACCTTGCTGGAGAACACCAGTCCAACAGACTGAGCCTGCAACATAGTGGTAATGGGGCCCCCCCATCACAGCACACGCCGGATGGGGGAAGACAACACCACGTCAACGACCAGCCGCTAGTTAGGCACACCAACAACTGGCAAGAGCAGGATGGGACAACCTCTCCCTCTGGTGGCTGACACTGGAATCTTAACTATCTCAGTTAAACACTCAACACATCATGAAATATAACATATAATATGATAATAATAATACAATACACTACATGTGTATTTAATGATATTTCAATAAAGATATGCATAAATTTAAATACTACAGCATGTTATAATTGGTAATAAAGAAACCTTGACCATATGAAAAGATATGACCTCTGATAGTGGTCATACCTTTGAGAGTGTATCCAGTCTGAACCGGTTAGGCTAGGTCATAACATGCACCCGCTTGAAAGAGGCAAGCCACGGAGAAACATGATCAAGATTCTCTAGTAGTTTGCAGAGATACACAAGGGGGATACGAACAGCGACCTGGAACTGAGGGAACAGGTCATACCCGGTAATAATGGGAACACACTGGACAAATATATTTTTAAGAGTGATATAGGAAAGTAGTGGGTTGGGAATATTGCAACAGATGAATGGATCGGGCTGTTGCTATCCATATTGGGACAAACAGTTTCAGCAATATATTGAACAGATAGATGGGTGAGAGGACCCGAAAAGCATAGGCCCCACAGGACTGCTGTGATCCTTCATAATTCTGATGTCCTTGTAGTTAGGGACACCAGTGTCGGGGGCATCATGGTTGGGTGGTCCCTGGGAGGGTCACCAGTGTGTCGGGGGCATCACGGTTGGGTGGTCCCTGGGAGGGACACCAGTGTGTCGGGGGCATCATGGTTGGGTGGTCCCTGGGAGGGTCACCAGTGTGTCGGGGGCATCACGGTTGGGTGGTCCCTGGGAGGGTCACCAGTGTGTCGGGGGCATCACGGTTGGGTGGTCCCTGGGAGGGACACCAGTGTCGGGGGCATCACGGTTGGGTGGTCCCTGGGAGGGACACCGTGCAGGGTTCCAGGTAATCATCAACATCTGCAGATGGAACATTCTTTATAATATTTTCATAAGTATTGTCTTGGTCCACGGTCTCATAGATGTGTTCGTCGTCGTCCTCTACACATTGAACTTTCGCAGGCAAACTTCCACAGGAATTTTCTGGGTCTATGGTCTCGCAGATGTGTTCAGCAGCGTCCTGTGCATATAAAACTTTCGCTGAAATATTTTCATATGTATTGTCTTGGTCCACGGTCTCGTAGATGTGTTCATCATCGTCCTCTAAATATTCAACTTTCGCAGAAAAACGTCCACAAGCATTTTCTGGGTTTATGGACACGCAGATGTGTTCAGCAGCGTCCTGTGCATATGAAACTTTCGCTGAAATATTTCCATCAGCAGTTTCTGGATACACGTTCTCGTAGATGTTTTCACTTCTCACCACCTCATCATTAATCTGGAAATTTTATAACATTGAAGGTTAATAAGAAATTACATGGAATTAATGTTTAAACCAAACAAATTGTTATTATTGTTCTTTATGGGATTTAGATGAATATATATATATATATATATATATATATATATATATATATATATATATATATATATATATATATATATATATATATATATATATATATATTCTATTATACAGGAACATTCCCCTCCAAGACGATGAACTCGACAAATACCTGCAAGTCCATTCAAGTTGACCCTTACACTTTAGTGGTCTCAAAACTATAATTAATTTGTGCTGACCCAATATTTCCAAGCCTCTTACTCACTATGAATCTGAACTTTAATGACAGGTGTGTCTGCATGACACGTGGCACTGTTAGGTGTGTGTGTCTGATGACAAGTGGCACTGTTAGATGTGTGTCTGCATGACAAGTGGCACTGTTAGGTGTGTGTGTCTGATGATAGGTGGCAAAGTTAGGTCTGTGTCTGCTGACAAGTGGCACTGTTAGGTGTGTGTGTGTCTGTTGACAGATGGCACTGTTAGGTGTGTGTCTGATGACATGTGGCACTGTTAGGTGTGTCTGATGACAGGTGGCACTGTTAGGTGTGTGTCTGATGACAAGTGGCACTGTTAGATGTGTGTGTCTGTTGACAGATGGCACTGTTAGGTGTGTGTCTGATGACAGGTGGCACTGTTAGGTGTGTGTCTGATGACAGGTGGCACTGTTAGGTGTGTGTCTGATGACAAGTGGCACTGTTAGGTGTGTGTGTCTGTTGACAGATGGCACTGTTAGGTGTGTGTCTGATGACATGTGGCACTGTTAGGTGTGTGTCTGATGACAAGTGGCACTGTTAGCTGTGTGTGTGTCTGTTGGCAGATGGCACTGTTATATGTGTGTTAGATGATAGGTGGCACTCTTAGGTGTGTGTCTGTTGACAGGTGGCACTGTTAGATGTGTGTGTCTGATGACATGTGGCACTGTTAGTGTGTGTCCTGGGAAAACTGACTCATGGGATTTATTTACTGATTTCAATTTATATTAATTTATTTATATAAATTTATTTTTCGTTAATTGATTTACTTGATAGCGGACTGTATGATGATGATGTGGACTGTATGTTTATTTTTCCCACAAGTAGTTTCCTACACAACCTGGGTGGGTTTATTAATTATATAGCCTATCAATCGAAATTTAATCGATTGGTAGACATTTACTTCAAATGTGAGAGGAGTTTGAATACCAATGATTAGTAAATTAAATTAAACAAACACAGCTAATCTGAATAATTGTTATTGGCGTGGTCAACCAGATATGAACACAGAAGATCCAACAAACCAAGTCTCCTCGTAGGTGAGGCTACTGGCGTCACGGATCACGTGTTGGTCAAGATCATTACTGCTATTTCTTCTTTCCCTTAATGACACCTTTCAAAAGCGGCACATAGTATCAATCATAACTAATATATGACGGCTATCTGAGGGGAAATGATTATTCTAATTAATGAATGATATTTACCCTCTCGGGTGGCTCGCCTCATGTCCTCAGTAGCCTACCCTAAATCTTACTGGCCAGAAATAGCTAGATTTATTATGTTATCGGCTAGAGAACACTTCCCTTTTTGTTGATGATGGGAGGTTTGTACATCCCATAACACTGTGTCTAGAGGGAAATAATAGCAGAGCTTCAAGCGTGCTCTAGGCGAGACTTTGTTGATGTTAAATTTTCAAGGCGTCTGCTCCTTCTCGGCTCGAGACGCATCCCTCTCGTTGGTTCCTAATTAGTCATTATCGACTTAAGAAGGTAGACTATGTATTTGCTGGTTATTTAATTAAATTCAGTCCTGGAGAATATTTTTTTGTCATATTTAATCCCCAGGCTGGCAGATTTAAAGATACGTGTTATACGTAAATGAATATTTGATGACATGGCAAACATCTCATTTTCTCTGTACAGCCATGAAGTTCATTCTCTGAAATAAAGTATAGTTAGTATGTTCCTGACATAACCGTTTTTGCTTGGTATGCCAGGATAGTAATTTGGTGTCGAAAATGCCGACATGATACTGGTGGGGGGGGGGGGGAATACGGGTCGGAGAGCAATATTTTTAACTGACGAACACTAATACTCCTCCTCAGAATTACAAGATACAATTACATTTGATATTAGTAGTTAGTAAGTGGAACATTTGTGCGTCGGTTCGAACCGGACGGATGTCCCGTGCTAGAGTCCCCCGTGGAGTAGAGGTAAGACATTTGCCTGGCATTTTGCAAGCGCTTTGGCCTAGGTTCGTATCCTGGCCGGGGAGGATTTATTGGGTGCCAATCCTTAACTGTAGCCTCTGTTTACCCAACAGTAAAATTGGTACCTGGTTGTTAATCGATTTAGCGGATTGTATTCGGGGGAAAATATTAGGTTTAAGGACTTGCCCGAAACGCGTGCTAGTGGCTGTACAAGAATGAAAGAACTCTTGTATATAAAATACAAAAAACATTGCACATGTTGGAAGGCTTTTGGTGATTTTATTTCTCTGCTAAATCTTGTGAGGCAAAGTTTCTATTCTAATTAAATGTTATTTAAACCAGAAGACTGAATGTGATTAATTACTACAGTTAAGTATGATTCTGAGACTGCAGCGGGATCAGTGACATTACTAGCAGTGACGTGTAGCCACTGAGGCCAATGAAATACATCTCGTCAACTAATAATAAATGTATCAAATCAGTTGTCGGATTTATTAGTCAACTATGCTCCCTTTTGCTCATTTGCTACAGCTTGTTTGGCTGACAAATTGGGTTTTAATTTGGTTAGTTAATTTAGAGAATTGAATGTACTCAATCATTAAAGTCAAGTATGGCTCTGAGACTGCAGTGAGTTCAGTGACATTGATTGCAGTGACTTGTAGCTGTTTAGGCTACTGTTCACTGATTTGCCACTGATGCCTCATGAACTCATCTTCAGCTTTAAAGGATGATATCAAGATCAAAGTCTGTTGTCATAGTCAGCTGTGTTCTTCCTTGTATATTTCTATTGGAGTTATATAATCAGCTGACAAATTTAAATTTCTATTTGAATGTTTGTCTGCAGGCATAGGCTTCCTCAGGCTTAATACTGGGTCAGTAAGTAATTTGCTTCCTGCATAATTTAACAGGTTTATTCCCTGATATCTAGTTGGGCTAATAAATTTGTAATAATAGTCTGGACCTACAATGATTCCTCCATCGGTGAGGTGATCAGACTTAATTTTATCTGCCAATTTTATTCCCCTATTTCTCAGGAATTTGGCAGTAGCTCCCATACCTTGTACATGTAGGTCCATTGGAATTGTGTATACCACAATGGCTTGCACTTGACAGTCGTAGCTGCCCAAACGTACTGATGGCTGTACCACCTGGAGATTTGAGGTCCTGTATCAGCTAGGAGCCCCGATATATCTAATGTCACCTGTGTTACAGGCTGTAATTGTAGATCATCTGCCACCTTTTGTGTGACAAATGTTCTCTGTGACCCTTGGTCAAGCAACCCTCGGGTTTTGACCCTGGCCCCTCTTAGTATTGATAGTAAGTTAAGCAGTAAGCAAAGTCGCATTATTTTTGGACTTTGTAGATAGGGCACTGATTTTCTGTCACACCTTGCAGTACTGTCACACCTTGCAGTACTGTCACACCTTGCAGTACTGTCACACCTTGCAGTACTGTCACACCTTGCAGTACTGTCACACCTTGCAGTACTGTACTGTGGTAGGAATTCCACCTAGTGGTTTGGAGACTATTTTTGGTTTCCCTGCACAATTCTGCGTGATGCTGACCTTTGTTACACCTATTACATGCTTTCAGTTGGATCTCACATTCGTGTGAGATCTATCACCGATAATATAGGAAGATAGATCCACAATTTCCTAACTAACAGAACCCAGTGTGTGATAGTCCAACATCAACAAGGTAAATTCCGGACCATCAACCATGAAATGCTCAGTCCCACAGGGTACTGTTCATGCTCCAGTACTCTTTCTCATTTTCATGGCGGACATAGACAATGACGCAAACTATAATACCGTATCATTCATAGCAGATGACATGGATTTTTGTGAGAAGACAACATAAAGGGACAGCAAACCTCCAAACTTATGTAAATCAGGTCTTTCAATCGGCCACAGGAAATAATATAGTTTATAATGAAAATAAGTTCCAGCTCCTGCACTATGGAAAATTGAAAATTGAAAAACGGAAATCACGTACAAAACGCAGTCAATCCATATCTTATAACGTAAAATCAATGAAATAGATTTGGGTGTAATCATGGAAGAAGTCCTTTACTTTAAAGAACATAATAAAGTTCTCGACTGCAAAAAAAAAGACAGGTTTGATAACAAGAACTTATCAAACTAGAGATGCTATACCAATGATGATCCTTTTGAAGATGCTAGTGCCCTCTAGAATGGAATACTGTTGCACAATGACAGCCACTTTCAAAGCTGGAGAAATTGCTGACCAGGAGAGTGTACAGAGATCCTTTACTGCTAGTACCCACTCAATAAACCCTCTAAATTACTGGGGCCGAGTAATATGCCTAAATCTGTATACTCTTGAGCGCAGGCGGGAGATATAATAATTTACACGTGGAAAATATCAGAGGGGCTGGTCCCAAACCTGCACACAGAAATAATACCACATGAGACCAGAAGCCATGGCAGGATGTGCAGAATACACCCTATTGAAAAGCAAAGGTGCAATAGGTGCTCTGAGGGAGAACTCTATCAACATCACAGGCCTAAGACTGTTCAACGCGCTTCCACTACACATAATGGAGATAACTGGCCGTCCCCTCACTGTGTTCAAGAGAGAACTGGATAAACACTTCCAAAGGATACCTGATCAACCAGGCTGTCATTCATACGTCAGGCTGCGAATAGCCGCATCCAATATCAGGCTGCGAGCAGCCGCGTCCAACAGCCTGGTTGACCAGACCATCAACCAAGAGGGTCAGAGACTGGGCCGCTGGGACCTTGAACCCCGGAATCAACTCAAGGTAACCGCAAGGTATGGTGTTTCCTTAGATTTTCAATGTTCACTTTACATTGATCGTACATCACTAATAAAAACTATATTAGTGAATAATGACACAAAGGAATTTTTTTTAAAGAATGGTATGATTTGTAAATATAACACTGAGGTGAATTAATGAATTTCAGTGTTTATTTGAAAGAAATACAAATACTCCCGTTGCAACCACTGTCATGAACTGTGCATTAACACTGTCTCTGAAGCTCAGTGCCATCCCCAGCACCTGTGTTCATGAGTGCAGGTTTGTTATGCGTTGTGCAACTGCTGCTGCCAGAGCACACCATACATCACACTCAACCTGAAGCATGTTTCCAGTGTTTGACTTGCTTAACAGAATGAAAGAAAAGGTAGACTTTCACAGATGTCTTGAAGGAAATGGGATGAGCACACGACGAACGTTCTTGCCAAGTTAAATGGGAAAAGTTTTTACTCAGATCTTTACTCTCAGATCTCAACTTGGAAATTGGCATTCATCTTTACCTGAGATGTGAATGAGTTGCAACAAAATCTTCGGAGCTTTGCAGGAATATCGTCTACATGGCGAATGAAAGGATCCCTACACAAACACGTAGTAATGTTTCTTGCAATATTATATTATACGAAACTTGAGTACTTGAGTTCGTTACTTGCACCGTCGTCGATGACAAGTATTGCACTATAATACATGCGCATGATCTGGGGTTTGTTTCTGGCAATATGCAGATTAACTACATATTATTCATGTGTGGTAGCCATTGAAATCTTTTGGATTGGTCCACTGCCATTGACCCATTTATCTTCAAACCATCATATTTCACATTAGTAAAATGTGTGATTCTTACTTCTAGCCCATAGTGAAGTTTAATAGATGATGCATAAGATGAAGTGGTTTTGTCGAATTATTGGTGAGACTTTGCGACGTATTACGCATTGAGGTTGGTCTTTGTTATCCATCATAATTTACGAAATCCATATTGAATGTAATCTTCCTGCTAACATTTCTTAATTTTTAGTCATAACATTGGCCAAATGTTATGACTGAAGACTGACCAATTCGGCCAGATCTTCTCTCAATTTCTCACTGAAATATCAAAATTACCACCAATAGAGAGTTTGACCCTTACTGGGAGTCATTGGTGCTACAACAAAACTTTGTCAAACTAGCAGAAATTGTTAAAAACGAAATAATGAGAGCTAAACCCAGTTATGAAGTACATATAGCAGGCCAGACACCAACAAATCCTGAAGGTTTCTTCTTCAAATATATATATACCAAAAATTAAGGAGTAGGGTTGGAATCTTTCTCTCATTCCTCTCTTATGTGTCTACCTTACGATAGTGGAAAGTATTGCGATATTCCTCGACCTCAGTAAAAGTCTTGCTACTTGCGTGAGGAGAGGCTCACTAGACAGTAGAGGGCAGATGGTGTGTAAGGGGTTATCCTAAGGTAAACTACAGCCAGGGTTGTAAACACAACAGGGAGTAGGCACGTGTGGTCGTAAGTCCGGGTGGGAATCATTGTAAGTGGAGTGCCGCAAGGCTCTGTCCTGACGCCTCTCTTGTTTACCATCATAGTTACCATCATCATATATACAGTTTACAATCTAAAATGAACAAAGGGAGGGAAGTTTCAGGGGAAAGCGCCAAGCCCTTACGTCTATATAGCACTTGGAAGGGATCAGGATAAGGATTTGGTATGAGACATGGGGGTTGGGGGGGGTTGGAAAAGTAAAGTGAAAAAGCCCAACCACTTGAACGGTCGGGGATTGAACGCCGACTTGCATGAAGAGAGACCGTCGCTCTACCATTCAGCCCAAGTGGTTGGACTATAACCACTTGGTTTTAGTCTACACATTAGCAAATGTATAGACGATATAACATATACGACGGGAAATAAATTCAGAAAACATAAAATAGCTCAAGATGATCAAGAGAGAGAACATTAAAAATTATGTAAAATTATCATATGGGTCCTATAGTACAAAGCTCCACGTTCTCGACGCAGAAACGCATATCACAAGTTCGATGCCCGGACTGGACAGAAATGGTTGGGCTTTTTTTCTTTCACCTAATGCTCTTTTCACCTAGCTGTAAATAAGCACGTGGTAGTTACATGAATTTACTTGAGCTAAATTGAATGGACTTATCTGAGGTCAATTCGAGAAGGACAGGAAGCCGGCGTCTTGCCTAAGATCCTGATGATCTTTTCAAGTTGGATTTGACAATTTAACAGTTTTGCTAGTAACGGCTTCGGTGGGTAGCTTGTTCCATGGGTTCATAACGTTATGGGTGAAAAAAAACATCTGTTCCCAGGCCTTCATTGTGACTTGTTGAGAGTGAAAACCGTTGCTCCTTGTTTGTGTTACATCTGAACTTCTGAAGAAATTTTCCGGATCAACATCCTTCAAATTGTTCAGTATTTAAAGAGTTTCAATGAGATCCGCCATAAAAATCCCCGCCCCCCCCCCCCCACTCCCCGAAAAGTAAAACAAATGCCACTTTGTAATTGTACAACACGTGCCACTTTGTAATTGTACAACACGTGCCACTTTGTAATTGTACAACACGTGCCACTTTGTAATTGTACAACACGTGCCACTTTGTAATTGTACAACACGTGCCACATTGTAATTGTACAACACGTGCCACATTGCAATCGTACAATATGTGTCACATTGTAATTGTACAACATGTGTCACATTGTAATTGTACAACATGTGTCACATTGTAATTGTACAACATGTGTCACATTGTAATTGTACAACATGTGTCACATTGTAATTGTACAACATGTGTCACATTGTAATTGTACAACATGTGTCACATTGTAATTGTACAACATGTGTCACATTGTAATTGTACAACATGTGTCACATTGTAATTGTACAACATGTGTCACATTGTAATTGTACAACATGTGTCACATTGTAATTGTACAACATGTGTCACATTGTAATTGTACAACACATGCCACATTGTGATAGTACAACATGAGCTATGCTGCGATGATACAACATGTACCACACTGTGATGTACAAGTAATAGAGCAACATGTGCTCCATGGTGATGGTACAACATGTGCCACACGGTGATGGTACAACATGTGCTCCACGGTGATGGTACAACATGTGCCACACGGTGATGGTACAACATGTGCCACACGGTGATGGTACAACATGTGCCACACGGTGATGGTACAACATGTGCCACACGGTGATGGTACAACATGTGCCACACGGTGATGGTACAACATGTGCCACACGGTGATGGTACAACATGTGCCACACGGTGATGGTACAACATGTGCCACACGGTGATGGTACAACATGTGCCACACGGTGATGGTACAACATGTGCCACACGGTGATGGTACAACATGTGCCACACGGTGATGGTACAACATGTGCCACACGGTGATGGTACAACATGTGCCACACGGTGATGGTACAACATGTGCCACACGGTGATGGTACAACATGTGCCACACGGTGATGGTACAACATGTGCCACACGGTGGTGGTACAACATGTGCCACACGGTGGTGGTACAACATGTGCCACACGGTGGTGGTACAACATGTGCCACACGGTGGTGGTACAACATGTGCCACACGGTGGTGGTACAACATGTGCCACACGGTGTGGGTACAACATGTGCCACACGGTGGTGGTACAACATGTGCCACACGGTGGTGGTACAACATGTGCCACACGGTGGTGGTACAACATGTGCCACACGGTGATGGTACAACATGTGCCACACGGTGATGGTACAACATGTGCCACACGGTGATGGTACAACATGTGCCACACGGTGATGGTACAACATGTGCCACACGGTGATGGTACAACATGTGCCACACGGTGATGGTACAACATGTGCCACACGGTGATGGTACAACATGTGCCACACGGTGGTGGTACAACATGTGCCACACGGTGATGGTACAACATGTGCCACACGGTGATGGTACAACATGTGCCACACGGTGATGGTACAACATGTGCCACACGGTGATGGTACAACATGTGCCACACGGTGATGGTACAACATATGATTGTACCTAACCTTCGTGTTCCAGAGAAGCCTCACGTATATATTTACGTGTTACGTGTCCATGATAGGTACAGCTATATACACGGAGGAGTCTCAGCAGGAGGAACAACGTAATGTCTCTCAGCAGGAGGAACAACGTCATATCTCTCAGCAGGAGGAACAACGTAATGTCTCTCAGCAGGAGGAACAACGTAATGTCTCTCAGCAGGAAGAACAACGTAATGTCTCTCAGCAGGAAGAACAACGTCATATCTCTCAGCAGGAAGAATAACGTAATGTCTCTCAGCAGGAAGAACAACGTCATATCTCTCAGCAGGAGGAACAACGTAATGTCTCTCAGCAGGAGGAACAACGTAATGTCTCTCAGCAGGAAGAACAACGTAATGTCTCTCAGCAGGAAGAACAACGTCATATCTCTCAGCAGGAAGAACAACGTAATGTCTCTCAGCAGGAAGAACAACGTCATATCTCTCAGCAGGAGGAACAACGTAATGTCTCTCAGCAGGAGCAACAACGTAATGTCTCTCAGCAGCTATCATATACAAACCTGGGTGTGTGGCAGCGGAACAGAGTCAGTTTTGCCCGTGGTAGTCTCGTTGCTGCTCCCTGGAAAGGATTAATGCTATATTACACTCTAAGGAATAATCCATTTAAGAATGTCATATTTTCAATTGGAAGTGCTAGTTATAATTTATACTATTTTGTTATTCAACATTTTTATAAATGACCTGTGTCTGTAGGAGTGAATATCCGTCTGTCTGTCTGTCTGTTTGAGGGATGAGGCCAGACGCTTGGGGTTAGCTTCATTCAACTGTATAGAGTGAATATTGAGTTCATCGGGAGTGATAAAGAGGATCCAAGGTCAGTCCAGTGCCCTACTGAAGGGAGGACAAGGACCAGGACTTGTACGTGTATCACCTAACACCTTCATGCTTAAGTGGCACCCTAAGGAAGGTCTAAATCACCGTATACCAGTTGGGGTATCTCTGGGAGCCTTCCTTATTGTGGGTGTTCAAGGCTCATTTGGACTACGTACTGCTTCTCTGGTAGTCAGTGGTTCGAAGCTCTCATAGTTGAAGTGAATGAAATATTATTACCATGATACAGTGGTCAGTAATATATATATATATATGTCGTACCTAGTAGCCAGAACGCACTTCTCAGCCTACTATGGCTACTAAGTACGACATATGTCTATATATATATATATATATATATATATATATATATATATATATATATATATATATATATATATATATATATATATATATATATATATATATATATATATCCTTGCCCCACAAGGATGTGGGGCAAGGTCCTGGTGGACGTCGCTTTGATTGCTTCAAGCAGATTATCTGCTGAAATGAAGTTGAGGGAGGTATTGTTCCTCGCTCCTGCAGCAGGTTGTCCATCGTCACTGCCCCGGGGCAGGCGCCTAGACCCTAGACAACCACCTGAATTGAGAGAATGATAGCGGACAGTTCCATTTGAATTGAGACGATACCGTCTGTCACACACTTGACAGTTTCCTCTTGGGTGGCCATCTTCTTGGCTGGAAAGAGGCTGTGTGTCAGGTGCGACATGTGCCATGCCTAGATGTGATGACGCCTGGCTGCCCGCTGAGTGCACCCTCTCGTTCCCAGATGGAGAGTAACACGGCAAGCATTACCCTCCTGGGGGAGTTGGGCATGGCCTGGGCACCGTGTGTGGGTAGGCTGTGTGTTGATGGGCGGCTGGCTGGGTCGGGCGCAGGTAGCGGGGTGGGGGAAGATGGCGGGCGGGGGTGGTGGAGGGGGGGGGGCACACGAGGGAGGCCGCTGTCACACTTGTTACACACTATCAAACACTCGGGGAAATCACTAGTGCACTTTGTTTTTAACACTACATATATATATATATATATATATATATATATATATATATATATATATATATATATATATATATATGTTTCATTGAATATGACCGCATATTCTGTATTTATTATTTTCTGGTTTAGGGCTTCTATCCCTCTAACTATTTTCTTAGCATCAGGGCTTAATTGAAATAGGAGTTCTCCAAAACTCATTTTCGTACTTTTAAGGTGAAGAAAAGAAGTGATTTACTATAGAGTGTATTACACTTATTTGTATAATTTGCACGACGTTTCGAACCTCCATGGTTCATTCTCAAGTGAACAGATCTTACAATACTAGTTGATTTTATACCCGCATTAGGTCAGGTGATAATACAATGAAGGTGAAAACATGGGGGGATACATAAGGGATAAACATAGGGGCTGCAGAAGACTTATTGGCCCATACGAGGCATCTCCTATCTAAACACAAAGATTAATCCAGTGTAATTGGCCTGTTATGTTGGACATTGTTTTCTGTGTTGGCATCGATATGTTCTTGTCTTGTCCTTACTCTCATGATGGGTAGAGTAAATAGTTCCGTGATTTGGGTTTTCATGGTAGGTCGCTCTATTCTTATGTGAATTGCCTCAAGAATTTGTAATCTTCTTACAAGCAACGCGGAAATAAACGCTGCTATAAGAAGACACTTGGACCGTTGGTATAATTCAGAACCTAGAACAGAAACCACAACACCCCCAATAAAATTATATTACAAATCAACCATGCACAGTGAACATATAAAAGAGGAAAGAATAATGAAAGAAATAATCCGTAAAGGAGTAAAAAGCACTACTCCTAACCAAAACATAAACCTGATAATATTCTACAAAACCAAGAAGACTTCCGAACTCCTTATCAAAAACAGCCCGAAGCCGACGGAGAACCCTCTACAGCAGTCAAGCGTTGTATACATGTACACTTGCCCCCACGAAGGATGTAACCTTCAATGTAAGTACATAGGTATGACGTCGACCAAGCTGACGAGGCGTTTGACATGCCATCTTCAATCTGGTGCCCCTAGGAATCACATGAGACAAGCCCATGACATTACTCTAACAAGAGAAATATTGAACAAGAATACTTGCATAATAGACAAAACCCAAGATTCAAGAAGATTACAAATTCTTGAGGCAATTCACATAAGAATAGAGCGACCTACCATGAACACCCAAATCACGGAACTATTTACTCTACCCACCATGAGAGTAAGGACAAGACAAGAACATATCGATGCCAACACAGAAAACAATGTCCAACATAACAGGCCAATTACACTGGATTAATCTTTGTGTTTAGATAGGAGATGCCTCGTATGGGCCAATAAGCCTTCTGCAGCCCCTATGTTTATCCCTTATGTATCCCCCCATGTTTTCACCTTCATTGTATTATCACCTGACCTAATGCGGGTATAAAATCAACTAGTATTGTAAGATCTGTTCACTTGAGAATGAACCATGGAGGTTCGAAACGTCGTGCAAATTATACAAATAAGTGTAATACACTCTATAGTAAATCACTTCTTTTCTTCACCTTAAAAGTACGAAAATGAGTTTTGGAGAACTCCTATTTCAATTAAGCCCTGATGCTAAGAAAATAGTTAGAGGGATAGAAGCCCTAAACCAGAAAATAATAAATACAGAATATGCGGTCATATTCAATGAAACATGTTTGAAAGAAAACCTGCTGCCAGTATACACCAATATATATATATATATATATATATATATATATATATATATATATATATATATATATACACAAATATATATATATACAAATACAAGTATATGAATAAACAACTGGCCCCCCCCCCTCGCCCCACAAAAAACATCAGATTTTATCATTGCATGACAAAGTGCTGCTCTTTACCGTACCTTGATTACAGTTGTCAGGTGTACTCATCTTCATTTGCCTTTTGTGACGCCTGCAAGAAAAGCAAAATAAATTAGCAAATAAGATAGAGTAACAGAGCAGAAGAAAATTAAATAAACTTCAGGAATACTGGGATGTAAAGGTAGCCAGTGTTGCTACAACTCCCGCTCAGGTACTAATGTAATCTGCGTGTGAATACTGTGGATACAAAGCTTCAAAATGTGTATAATAAATATATTAAAAATATGTTTTTCCTCTAAGTATAATTGATTTGTTTAAAGTTAGACAAATTAAAGAAGTTATGCACTTGTGACAACCGGGCAAGCATTCCAACTTAGACGAAATACACAGAATTAACACTTTTTAAACTGTAGCGGAACACAAAGACTAAACCTATCCACAAAATTAATCTAGGTCCTAGACCAGGATTGGTCTAGGCTTCAGGTCTGATAAGTTACATGCAAGGCACGACAAGGCTGATCTTAGTGATTTAAAACACCAAAAAATGTTGGAATTATAAACGAAAGCTACGGTGCAGGACACAACGAATTTCCTGTTTTACATAACTGAAAACTGCATACGAATCAGTCTTACAGACGAAGCCTTAATAGCTAGAGTAGAAGTATAATTTAAAATATAGCTTAGAGAGATGGTGCCTGGATGGCTGCATTAGGGTCAGGAGAGCCAGTGACATCATCGACTGAAGAATGAATGTCAGTCAAGTCATCGTGGTCAGCTTCTTTGGGTTTATCTGCGGAGTTCGTGAACTCTTCAGAGTCGGTCGAGTTTACGGAGTCGACTTCATCATCCTGGTCACCTGTCCAGGGGACTGCTGTCATCTTTGTCAGTGGGATAAGCATGAGAACTGCAGAGTTGCTGTAGCCGGATGGTTTGGCTCTGGGGGTCGGCTCTGGGATCCCCGGGGGCGGAGGCTCCTGTAACAGTTGTGGAAGTTGGAAGGTCATCGAGTACAGCAGCTGTCGGAAGTCATTCGCGAGGAGCAGCCTGTTGATGATGAGGTTATAGGGATAATGTCCTTGCCCGAAATTTTGTCGGCAAGGTGAAGGAGGACATGTAAAAGGGTGATCTTAATGGAGGCTGCAGGCTGGGCCAGTGGTGGTGTGGTCAGAGGTGGTGCGGCCGGCTAGGTGCAGCATTCCCAGGGATCAGGCGGTGGTGAGGGAATCACATGTGTGTTCCCAGAATGACAGGGAATTCCGACGGGAGTGGGTTTGCTGAACGAGGTATGGTGGTGGAGGATGCGGTAGCCGTCATCTTTCAGATTTCCTCCTGCCAGAGGAGAAGGTCAGCTGAAACCGCAGAGTGTGGGCCATTGCAGAGCAGGCAGGGTCAGTGGGAGGATGTGCAGTCCGTGTAGTGGTGCTCGTGGGCGCAGAGGCTTCATCTTTGCGCTCTCTCGGTTCACTTCCTGGTGTAGTGGGAGTACTGGTTTCATTTGAAGCACTGCTGGAGCTCTAGTTACTTGGGTAGGGGGTATGGTGATTCCTGTGCACTTAATTCCGTAGCCGTAGTCCGTGGCGTGGGTCGCTGCAATGTCGGGTTCTGTTTGTTAATGCTGGAGAGGATGTCGTCTTCGTCGCGGTTGGTGATTTATGTTCTGATATTCCTGGCGAACATTGTCCTGTCCGCCGGGTAGCGTTGTGATGGCGTGAGGGTGAGGCCGGCATCATGCAGGTGGTGATGAATATCTTCTCAAGGATCGAATCCCTAGAGAAGATCTGGTGAACATCCTTTCTTGTCTTTAGGATGTCAGCAGGTGAGATGATGACGGAGATTTGTGCTAAAATCTCTGTCCTGAACCATAGGAGCTACTCAGAACGAGATGTCCATGTAGCACGGGCTATGGTGAGCCTGTAATTGAGTTCGGTTATTCGCGATAACCTTGTTACTCTGATATTTGGGTCAAAGTTTTACATGGAGGTGGGGTTTCTCCCTTTATTCCTACTTCTTTTTCGCTTCTGTTTTAGTTCACTGATTTTAGTCTTGTTTTAATAACATTATCTTGGTGACAGATGTAGATGCAGAATGTTCACTAGTGAGTCCCATTCTTCAACGGCTTTTCTAATCATTGTAGTCGCTGTGGAATGTGCAGCTGCAGTCATTGGATTAATGTTGAATTTGATGTGCAGGGCTTCAGTAGATTCATATTCCAGTAAGTAGTGCAATAGTGGCGCCTTTGCTTGTGTTCCACAGATATGACACTGGGAGAGTGGAAGGAACGGGCCAGTAAATAAGGAGAGAGTTAGGTGAGGAGCAGATAAGAGAAGGTGTGGCTATCAAAGCATTCTTAATTCGAATTATATCTTAATTCTCCATTTCCTGTTGATTTCTTTAATTTTGTTATGGATTATCTGCTTCTGTTGACATTTTTTCAGGAATAATAACTTAGATTACATAACATTGCATAAATGTATGAAAATCAGTGTCACAACAATTTTCATACATTCTTATTGCTCATGTCACAGGTGAGACACGATCAATAAAATGCAAACAAAACTTTCATTTATATTTCATCGACATTCATGAACATTTGCGAGGAGAAACTGAAACAAGTTTACCTCAATTCACCTGAGAACAACCATCTCTAGTGTCCTTGACGGAGACAGGAAGTTGATGGCTTATCCAAAACCCAATCCTTTATCCCAGATGATTGTTTCTAGATATATTTTGCCTTCATATTAAAGCTTTCATCGAGTATGCAAATTCTTGGGTTTGTTACCCAATAGGCGGAAAAGCATCTCCTGTTTCCGGTTCTAAATTGTAAAATATTAGGCTTATAGTTCTTGTTTCTTGTTTGACTTATATTGGACTTTAAAAAATGGCATTAAGCAGTTGCTGACTTAAACTCTAGTGAGTGTTAATAAAACAAATATAGAACAGAAGAACATAAGACTAACCAATAGAAAATAAAGAGGATGACACCAGTAAGGATGATGAGAGGTACAAGAAGCAGCCACCAGATGGCAGACGTTGGCAGGTCCCTGGGCTTCTCTCTTCTCTCTCCTGCAATATACATCATAAATCAAAATTACACACACACACACACACACACACACACACACACACACACATACACACACACACTCACACTCACACTCACACTCACACACACACACACTCACATACATATATATATATATATATATATATATATATATATATATATATATATATATATATATATATATATTATATATATATATATATATATATATATATATATATATATATATATATATGACAATGTCAGACCACGAAGGAAAAATGAAACAGGAAATTTCCTTAAGTACTTTCGTATATTAAATACATCTTCAGAAGGTCCTTCTGAAGATGTATTTAATATACGAAAGTACTTAAGGAAATTTCCTGTTTCATTTTTCCTTCGTGGTCTGACATTGTCACATTCTTAATCACGTGTTTATTTTCGTGATATACACACATATATATATATATATATATATATATATATATATATATATATATATATATATATATATATATATATATATATATATATAGGGGTACCACCTCTGGTGCAATTATAGGGACCCACAGCCTCAAAGAAGGGAACACAGAGCATTCAGAGAAAAACTTGCCATTTAACTCTGAATACGTATGAGTGTTCGCTTCTCCTACCTCCCCCTTTTTTATGGTGTACACTTTATTATGCAAGGTTATACAGTTACATATCTGATTTTATATAAAAACGAACATTAAGAGAACACAAGAAAAAGTTCGCTGCCTAGAGGCTGTAAATTTCCTCGAACTCCTGCGACGCCGGGCAGGAACCGAGGATGCAGCGGGCATTCCCCCTCTGGATCGCGACACTGAGGACGCCTTAATCCATTTGACCATCATGACCAGACATAAGTTTTCAGTCGCATATAGTCCTGGGGACCATTCAGGCTTGTTCGCATTTGTGTTCCTCATGTGTGCCCCAAAGAATGAGGTGATTTGATAAAATGCTATGCCCAAGATTACCATCCGAGTGCCGGCGGGGAAGTGGTTCAAATAGCTTCGGCTATCACTTCCTTATGTCCGGTCGTGATGGTCAAGCAGATTAAGGCGGCCTGTAGATACCAGTTGCATTGCTCGTGGCAGTATGGATTCGAGTCACTTCTGGGGTGTGAGTTTTCAGTCGCATATAGTCCTGGGGACCATTCAGGCATGTTCGCATATATATTTATATGTATATATGTCGTACCTAATAGCCAGACTGCACTTCTCGGCCTACTATGCAAAGCCTGATTTGCCTAATAGGCCGAATAGTTTTCTTTATTTTCAATAAATTTTCCAATTAATATATTTGAATTATTATTATATTATATTAACAACATAAATTATTAACTTAGTTGTGTTAGTTAAGGTTAGGTTAAGAAAGGTTAGGCTAGGTTAGGTAGGGTTGGTTAGGTTCGGTCATATATCTACGTTAGTTTTAAATTAAATTTAAAAAAAGAATAACTCATAAATAATGAAATGGATAGCTTTATCATTTCATAAGAAAAAAATTAGAAAAATATATAAATTCAAGAAAACTTGGCTTATTAGGCAAATCGGGCCTTGCATAGTACGTCAAGTACTACTTGCTTATACATGTGCCCGGATGGGCACATGTATAAGCAAGTAGATGGGGTCGCCATGGGTTCTCCCCTAGGTGTCCTGTTTGCAAACATCTACATGGGTACCATCGAGCAAAAAGTCTTAGTCGACATGAACATGAAACCGGCCATATACTGCAGGTATGTTGACATTTTTACACAGGTACCTGATGTCAGACATCTGCAAGAGTTGAAGGAGGTATTTGAGCAAAGTTCCGTGCTGCGTTTCACTTACGAGATGGAAAAGGATGGGAAGCTGCCCTTTCTAGATGTAACAGTCATGGAAAAGAGCGGAGGTTTCCACACTGCAGTCTACACTAAGGAAGCAAACATAGGAATGTGCCTAAATGCCAAAAGCAACTGCCCAGACAGGTACAAGAGGAGTGTTGTTAACGCATATGTCAACCGTGCTCTCAGCCACAGCTCAGAATGGAAGCAAGTCGACGAAGAACTCTGTAGGGTAAGGCAGGTCCTAGTCAACAACGGCTTCTCCAATGGTTTCGTCGAAGACATCATAAGAAGGAAAGTGAAACGCCATGCAACCTCTGAAGAGACAACCAACACAACACCTATACCCCCTATTAGACTATTTTACAGGAACTTCTTTTCCACAGCTCATAAAATGGAGGAAAGGGTCCTGAAAGATATTGTTAATAGAAACGTTATCCCTACAGACAAAAATCAGAGGATACAACTGACGATTTACTATAAAACCAGAAAAACGGCCAGCCTACTCATGAGAAACTCTCCAGACACAAAACAGAACGCTTTAAAAGAGACTAACGTCGTCTATGCCTTCAAATGCCCTCTTGGGGACTGTAAGCTCCAAAAAACCCAGTATATAGGCAAGACAACAACATTTCTTTCTAGGCGTTTAACGATGCATAAGCAACAGGGCTCCATTAAGGAACATATAATCTCTTCCCACAACCAAACCATCGCCAGAGAAATCCTAGTAAACAACACAGAAATCATCGATAGATACAGCGATAGCAGGCGGCTTGACGTTTGCGAGGCATTACACATCAAGAAGTCAACACCAGCAATCAACAGCCAATTAATGCACAACTATATTCTACCCACCTCAAGACTCCGCTGCAATATAGAAGCATCAAGAAATATGGACCAATAGGCTTTCTACAATCACTTCTATTCAGTACCCATTGTTTCATGTTCTGGCTTGTGTTGATGAAATTAATACCTTATTAAATACCACCTCACCCCATCCACCTCACTCAAATGTAGATATAAACAAAATCGGAGATGTGTAAGTTCTATTCAGTTGTGTATGTGTTAACTAAAGTCTTTGAAAATGTAATAAGTTTTACGAAACGCGCTCAAGTGTCGCGTCAGACTAGAAATAAAAATGAATTTTGGAGAATTGATTTTTGAATTACCTCCAACAGTGAAAAGAAATGTACGAAAGATTGAGAAAATTCGTGTTAGAATTATTAATCTTACTTTTTCGGTCATATTTAATAATATATATCTACAGGAAAGACTGCTACCAAAATATTCTATATATATTATATATATATATATATATATATATATATATATATATATATATATATATATATGTATGTATATATCTATATATATATTGTGACGATAATCTCTTTCAAGAGAGATTGAGCCTGCTCTTCCCTTCAAAGTACGTTACAACAACAGATAATATAGAAGATATATCCAGCAAGTATCTCCAAAACGTTTTGCCCAGAGAGCAAAACGTATCCAGCACACCGGCACACCTGCTCGCCCCGCCACCATAACCGGCAAACTGCTTGTCCATCGCCTGCCTGTCGCTGATTGGCTGGTGTCCCGTCGCACCTGCCCTCCACCCTCCGCCACAAGTTGATATCTGGGCTGCAGCGGCCCAGAGAAGGCAGAATATCCCAGTGCTCCTTGCAGTTGACATCTCTCATTGGTAGACTAAGCCTTGGCTTTCGTGTACTAAGGGAGGTGGCAGCTCGAAGCCAATATTCCAGCTCCATTATTATTATTTATTTTGCTATCACTGTAACTCACTTGTCTTAACGTAACTTTTCATTTGCCAGTGATTATTCTTATTATTTTGTTTGTTGACTTGTCTGTTATATTTTATACTTAATTTTATTCATGTCTTGTTTTTCTAACGTAATTAAAATTTCATTGTTAAATTTACTTGTGTTTTGTGTGTCTTCCCATTACCTTACCACAGACGAAAGTTCCAGCTTTTTCTCTTTTTTTTTCTTTAATGTGACGAGGCCCTGCCCCTAGCTTTTGAAACAGCCGAACACCAACGCTTTACCGTCACAATATATATATATATATATATATATATATATATATATATATATATATATATATATATACTGTTAGGGTTCACCCCCTTCCAACCTGTGGTTGGGGCTGCTCCCACGGGTCTTAGCCCCTCAGTTCTTGGCGCCACTGTCCGCCCCAGGGCTCCCCCAGTCGGCCAAGGGCTGGCCTTATACACCCCTAGCGAGTGGGGAGGTTCAAGCCTCCTATAACTCACCTGAACCTGCACGTCCTGACATTGGGAGGTTCTATCTTTCTTTATCCGGCCTGCTCAGGTTGCCAGCTGGGTGTTTAGACTCATGTCCCAGCAACATGTCAGTGGTCTTAGTGGTTATCTTAATCAAGGATTATTATGATCTCAGCCTACAGGAGAAACGAGTCTCCCTCCTTGAGAGTTATTCATCAAGCCTGACCTGATTAGAAGGTCTAGCAAATATTGAGGTGATAACGCATATGTAAAATAGTTGCTTGGATATGTATAACAGTTTGAGATTATGGGCAATGAAGAAGAAAACAGATAAATGACTGGCTAGGAGATGTGGACATTTTGCTGGAGGCGTGAGGCTCGCTTCCGGAGGACCTTGACCTCACTTGAGTGCCAGACATCGCAGGGGAAAGCTGCGCTCCGTGAGCTCCCGCCAGAAGGGAACCCCTAGTGATATATCTCGAAGAGAAGAGAAGTGTGTAGACGTGCCAGCTGTGGAACCGAGCTGGGAACGTTGTGATCTCAAGTCCTGGTCGACGAGCAGAGTTTAATAAGCTACTCAGAGGCATTTTCGTGGGCTGTGTGGAGCGCCCTGACCAGACGCCGTCAGAGGGAAAGCGCCCTCGATCAGTTAATCTGTGGTAAGCACGATATACGCCAGTTCATAGTGATTACTTGTAGTTGGTCGTGTGCCCAGCGACAGTAGCAATGTTTATTTATAAGTTAGACATGTTTTAATAAGGCAGAAAGCCTGAAATAGGAGAGTGAAGAGGGAGGAGCACGGAGCGACGTCCATCCCCTCTGAGCTCTGACCGACGACTGAGGAAGCCCGGCTCCTGACGGAGGAAGACCCTCCCAGCGAGTGAGGACCGCCGCCAGGCGAGGTGGAGTATGGACCC